TTTTACAATGTTGTGTCAAATTCCAGTGTAGAGCACAATTTTTCAGTTATACACGAACATACATATATTCATTGTCACATTTTTTTCGCTGTGAGCTACCGTAAGATCTTGTATATATTTCCCTGTGCTATACAGTATAATCTTGTTTATCTGTTCTACATTTTGAGATCCCAGTCTCTCCCTTCCCACCCAATTGTGTTTTGCTGCATTTGCTTTCTCTGTCTCTCTCTGACTGCTTTTTCTTTTCTCCGTGACTGAATCATTTGAAACCTGGTTACAAACTTTGCCCCTAAAGTCTTCAGCATGCATCTCCTGAGAAAAAGAAAATTCTTCGTAACCACAAAAAATCATCACACCTGGGAAATTAACAATTATTTCCTACTATTGTCTGATACTGGCTCATATAAATGTTCTCTGATTGGCCCCAAAATGTCTTAGAGCTGGTTTAATTTTGTTCCAAGACCCAAATGAAATTTATGCTCCGCATTCGTCTCCTCTGTAACAGCCTTGTACCCCCTTCGCCCCCTTCCTACTTTTCTCACCCCACGACACTGAAGTTTTGAAGCACCCAAGCCGTTTGCCCATGTCCTGGGTTTGTCCCATTGTTTCCTCCTGGTGTTGTTTAACTTGTTCTTCTGGCCCCTGTAATTTCCTACAAACTGGAAGTTAGGCCTCAAAACCAGATTAGATGCAAATCAAATATTTAGGCAAGAACACATCATAGGTGATGTTTTGTATGTCACCTTGCATCACAACAGGACGTGAAGTCTCAGCTTATCCCATCATTGGTGACGACTGATTACTTGGTTAAGTTGGTGCCTCCAGATCTCTCTTGTCAAAGCACACGCACCCCTTTGTCCTTTGCAGGCAGTCTGTGGGCGACATCCTAGTGTGTGCAGATACCCTGTTTCCCAGCAGCCTCTCACCTAATGGTCCAGGCAGCTCTTGGCCTCCTTGCCTGAACAAGTCATTCACCTGGGGTTGCAAAGCGGTGATTCCCTCATTATCATTCCTTTTGTCTTTATTAGCTGCTGTTTTCTGTTAAGAAGAGCTTCCCCTCCCCTCTGCCTTTTTGAGTGTTAATATGAACCTCAATGCTTTTTATTAATTCGGTGTGTTAAAATCGCTCATTATTGTGTTGGCTGTGTGAACTGCCCTGACAGTGGCCACTGGGAGCGCTTTCGAGCTGGCTTTTCCACCCAAAGCCCAACATAGGCTCTTGATGGAAATGTCTGTGGGGGAGGTAACACGGACTTTAAACTCATTCACACTGAGATGTAAGTGCTCACTGTGGGTGTTACCTAAGTGCAGTTCTGGTTTGGGCTTGGGGTCAGGGTCTGTTGCCCTGTACCTGGCCTTAGGAAGGACTGGGTCAGGAGAAATGAAGGCAGGAAGGAAGCAGGAAGGCTGGCAGGGCAGCCTTGCAAGACCCTTATTCCAAGGACTGGGAACAGTTTGACAAATGGGAAACTCGTGTCTCAAGATTGTCCTTATTCCACACTCCCAACATGGTAGAGCTTTGATGATGGCTCAAACCAAGACCAACCTGCCTTCAAATTCAGTGGATTTCCTTGGAGCTAAGTCTCAGAGCTCTGGGGTCCTAGCTACTCCTGGGTCCTTGCCAGCACCTTGATCTCTCTTGGTCTTCTCCTGTTTCGTGATGCCCTTGGCTGGCCCTGGGAATTTTTCTAGGAAGGTGTAGCTATCTGGGAGAGGTGATAGAGGTAGGGGATTTGATCAAGGCGAGGGTCCATATAAAGCCGATTCGTGGCTGGACCCTTGAAAGAAGCTGCACCCTTCATTTTCCCTCTAGAAGGAAGAGGCTTCTGAAGGAGCCAGTTGAGACCCTCCCTCCTCTGGTGGTCCCCAGGTTTGTGTCCCCCTCTCTGCTCCCCAGCCATCTCATCATGGCTTTCCCCCACAATGCCACCCTTACTGTAAGCCTGTCTCATTCTGCCTGTCCCTCTGTCTGTCTCTGGTGTGTCACTTTTCCTCATAACATCCTATTCTGAAGAACCCTGGGGCTTTGTCCTCTGTGCCCACGCACCTTAGCCTGGTGCTCTTTGCATTTCCTCTTATGGACACTTGGTGGCACTATTATCTAAGGTGTGAACTGGACCTGATTTGGCCAAGCTACTAAGGGGCTAGAAAGGGTGTGTGTGTGCGCGCGCACGTGTGTATCACACTTCTTCATGGTATGGGAAAAGGCAAGGGGACATACTTGGAGGACAGAGTGGGTGACTTTAAAACAGCTTTCCCCCCCATGAATAAAACCTATTAATTAAAAAAAGGATGAAATAATTTAAGCATATTTCTGTGCCCCACGCTGCCGTGGAGATAACCACTGTGAACATTTCCTGCCCCTATGTTTTCCTCTCTGTAGCCCTCACTTCTGTCTTTCACCACCCCACCCCCCGAACCTCCCTGCCCCACTGGAAAAAAGTGGGATTCAGAATACAGTTGATCTTCATTATTCACAGATTCTGTACTTGCTAATTTGCCTACTTGCTAGCATTTATTCATGACCCCGAATCAATCCTCTTGGTGCTTTCGGGATCAGTTGCAGAATCTCGAGAAATTTGAGCCCCTCGAGGAGCGTATTGCCAGCTGGGTTGGACCAGTGTGATTTCCCTCTTGTTTCTCATCCCGTTAATGTGTCCTTTTCCTGGTCTATTTAGTGTCATGTTTTTTTCTTGCATTTTGGTGCTTTTTGCTGGTGATTTCAGTGTTTACAATGGCTCCCAAGCGTGGCGCTGACGTGCCGTCTAGTGTTCCTCTGTGCAAGGAGGCTGTGGCGTGCCTTATGGAGAAACTAGATGTTAGATGAGCTGCGTCCAGGCACGAGTTACAGTGCTGCTGGCTGTGAGTTCAGTGTTAGTGACTCCACAACATATAATAAAAAAGATGTCTTGAGATAGAAATATACATAAAGCAAGGTTATTGGTCGGTTGACAGCAGTCTTGTGACAGAGGCTCATAGGAATCCAACCTTGTATTTTGCTAAGGAGCACTATTTCAGTATTCATTCCTTGGGTACTTGTGACTTATAGAACGTGTAACTACTGCCAGTAATGAGAATCCAGCGTGTCTATGTGGTCTGGTCAACTGCTCATACTGTCTAACATGTCCTTCGGTTATTAAATAGTCTTTGCAATCAGCTTATTGTCTGCATAATATTCCATTAGATGAATATAATGTAACATTTAACCTGTTTTTGGATAATTTTTTTTCAATTTTCCTCTTTTATGAGCTACTCTGGGACAAACATCAGCATACAGGAATCTTTTAAAAATATTTATTTTATTATTTTAATTTTTTTTTAAATGGAGATACTAAGGGTTGAACCCAGGACCTTGTGCGTGCTAGGCATACGCTCAACCACTGGGCTATACCCTCCCCCACAGTGTACTGGCATCTTTATTCACACTCCACTTTTCCATAGGGAAGTTTCTAGAACTGGGTCAGAGGGCATGCTTATGTTTAAGTATTTGATACAGGTGGCCAAAGAGCCCTCCAGAAAGGTTGTACCAAATATACTCCATTCTGAAGGGAAGGAGGGTAAAAACTAAAAAGGCTCAGAGAGGAAGCAGAGGGGGAGGGAGTTGGTGCGACTCCCCAGGACTGGCGCTGAGGGAGTGGGGGGACAACCTGTGCATTCTCATTCCAAGGAGCGGACATGTGACGTTGGCAGGGTCTCCTTAGCTGTGTCTGATCAAAGAGTCTTTGGCAGGGGGTGGGGTGGTGGGGTGGAGGGAGGGTACAGCTCAGTGGTAGAGCGCATGCTTAGCATGCATGAGGTCCTGGGTTCAATCCCCAGTACCTCCATTAAAATAGATAAATAAATCTAATTACACCCCCCAAAGAATTTTAAAAAGTCTTTTCTCTCCTTTTCTTTTGTATTTTAAACTTTTGTTCATCTAAGTTTTGAATTAGGTAGGACATTGTTTATGCATGCCTTGTACATTGATCTATCCACCATCCTGAATCTCTCATGAAGACTCGCCCTCTCGCTCTGTGCCCATCCAGCAGGCCACCGCTCATCTCCTCGCTTGCAAGGGGAACCTTGCTGGTGGTTTCTTTTGCATCACCCTGGCTTCATTATGCATATGCTGCACATCTGATCATAAATTCTTACCTTTTACCCTTTTAATACAAACAGTTGCACATTATCCTCACTGCTCTGCCCCTTGCTTTTTTTTCTCATGTAATATAACTTGGGAATTGTTTCATATCTTAGAGCAGTCCTCATTCTTCTAGATCTGCGTATTGCTCTGGCCTGTGGGTGGACCATAATTTATGTAACCCGTCCTCTATTGCTGGACACGTGGAGCTGTTCCACATCCTCCCTAGTCCAAGCCATGCTACAGCGAATAACCTTGCTCATGTGTTATTCTGCACGTGTGCAAGTCTTTCTGTGGGATCACGTCTGGAGGTAGGAACTGGCAGGTCACAGGGTATTTGCATTTGTAATTTTGAAGGATGGTGGCCAGTTGCCCTTGGGAGGAGTCGAGCTGTCCTGTTCTCCCACCAGCAAAATCTAAGTGCGCACTTTCCCCACAGCCTTGCCGAGAGAGGACTGCCAGGCTTCAGAGAATTTTATGACTGATAGATGAGAAATGGTATCTCATTTGTTTGTTTGTGTTTCTTCTATTATGAGGGAAGTTGGGCGTCTTTCTGTGTGCTTTAAGCCCTTTGTGTGCCCGTTCCTGGGACGTGTGTGTCCCACTCTGCCCGTGGTTCCATCCGATTGTCAGTCTCTCTTCTTTCCTTACTCCTGTCTTTGCTCACACGAGGGCCAGATCCTGGCAGCCATCCCCGCCCCCAGACTTTGCCTGGCTCTTCTCACAGGGAGGAGGGGAGGGTGGGGACAGGGCTGGCGCTGGGTGGACCAGAGATGGAGACAAAAGTTCTGGCCCCTGGGGAGGCTGCACCCTCACTTGATAGAGTACCCAAAGCCCCCAGTCTAAGCAGGTGCTCCTTGGATGAGGTAACGCATATAAATCCTTCGCATAATCAGGGCCCAAAGCAAATACTCTTGAAGAAGGCTGTTCGTTATTCCTGCTTGTAGGACACACACACCTTCCAGGACCTGCATGTCTGGAACAGAGCCTTCCCCTGTTGCCCTGTGCGGGTACAGGATGCCCCGGGCTGGTTAAGGGGTCTGTGCGTCTCTGGGGCCTCCAAGGGTGGAATAAAACACATGAGCCACTGGTTTGGTTCCAGTGTCTGGCTCTGCCAGGTTTCTTGTTTGTGGAGATCCTAGTTTTAAGAGCAGGGCTGAGCAGAGGCGGACTGTGGCTTATGAGGTTTGTCTCCTCCTTGGATTTTCCCTTCACTCTCAGATGCCGGTGCACCGCCCTGGCCCCGGCCCTCCAGCTCCCCTTTCCTCTCCCTCTGTCCCCATCTCTAATCCGCTGGGGCTCACGGTCTTCCAAAGGGGCCAGTGCTCTGGGCTGATGGGCAAAGGAGACTGCTTCAGGCTGCAGGACCCCTGGGAAAGCTGGTCTGAACTCAGGGCCCCCATATTTAGGGTCATTGGCCATAATGGGAGGTAGGGGCGGGGAATTTCCAGCCAGAGGTGTGACATAAGGGAGAAGGGTTGTGACATTCAAGCCTTCTCTCCCTACACCCCTGCTGGGTCTGACTGACCACTGAGCTTTGTCTCTGAAAAGATGCCCTGTGTCTGAGCCCACTGCACCAGGCTCCATGGCCCAGGGCCTTCTGTCCAGTCCAAAGGGTGGCCAGCATAGCAGAGAAGTATGGCTGGCTGGTATGGTGGTTCCCGAGGGAGCCCAGAGTCCCCTCAAATCTCTATCCATCTGTCCTCCATGTCTTCTAGCTCTGCAGCAAGATCCTGGAGAAGACAGCCAACCCTCAGTGGAACCAGAGCATCACGCTTCCTGCCATGGTGAGTCTTGCCCCACGGGCCCACCCTGGACTTCTTCTAAAGGACCCCACCCCAACACGTCTCTCTTCCCTCCTCAGTTTCCCTCCATGTGTGAGAAGATGAGGATTCGTGTCATAGACTGGTGAGTTCTGTGCCTTGGAGTCTTCAGAGGGGGCTGTTCTCAGGGTCACTGGGTCCTGTGGTTTCCTTCTGTTCTGTCTGCATGTCGTGGG